AAATATGTGAAAAAATAAAGAGCTGTTCTAGATCCTTCCTTGCGTCTCAGGAATTCGAGAGCGCCGGTTGGAGCCATTCTTCTCTCTCGCTCCGTCTTGAAGCTCACGAAAAAGGGTGATATCTTACCGGTGATCAAGAGGCAGCATGGTCAGCAATCCTTTTTCACCTCTTGTCTTGTGGTTTCTTAGGGTTTTTATTTGATTGGTTTGCGTGTTGGACCGTGCAAATCCTTGTTCTTGCTCACTATTCCTATTGATTTGTTGATTCACGTAATATTTGCAGAACTAGATGCCTTTTTATGTTTGGAATAGTCATCGAAGCTTCCTTTTTTTGTCTTTCGGTGATCATCAAAACTTTACCAGTCTTTATATCTAGATAAATTATCCAGACGATGTGTGTTATGCGTAATCAAATAGCTAGGTCTTTTATTCTGTTTATGCTTTGATTTGGTGTTGTTAAAGATTTTTACTTGCGATATTAATGTTATGCCAACCCTTGGTCTGAGTTGTATACTTAAGGAAAGCCTAGAACTATACGGTTTGGTTTCTTGGAGGGCATACTGTTCATGAGTATATCTTATGTTAAGGAAATGCTGATATATGAGAAGAGACTACTATTTGCCAATTTTAGTTTATGTTATATTATTTTTTACTTTTTGGTTACCGGCTGATCCGCTCCTAATTTTTTTTGCTCCTAATTAATCGGAACCGTCCGATTAGGGATGCCAAGATTCATGCTTCGATGATCCCAATGAAATGATGGTCGAATGGGAGACTGTACTTTCAGCTCTTATAGTGCTAGATTGCATCATGGTTCACAGCAACCTTCTGCTTTGGCGTGATGGAATCAATTTGATGGATATCAATCTTGGGTTTTGATATAAATCCATTTTTCAAATTTGGATCATCTTGAACACTAATCTAAAGGCTATCGTTATAGATTCGGCTGTCTGATTCAAGCACCCAACAATAATCTTAAGGGTAATTTTTTCCCAGCATTAATCTCAATGATGTTTTGGTTCAAATATGCACCATAAAATTTTCCAAGACCCAAAAGAATCTTCATATGATATTCTTTAAATTCTCCCATGTGGGAGGTTGGCTACTCTTTGAGTCCTCATTCTTTATTCTAAAGTAAAAACTTTGGCGATTTGGTTTCATTATTTAGCTCAAATTGTTGGCATGAGTGCCTGAGGATCTTCATGTTGATAAAATTTTTTGTTTGGCCTGCTAACCTATTTAAATTTGATGAAGAATGATGCATCCTCTTGAGAACATCACATAAATAAATTATAATATTTTATTAAGAAAAAAGATTGAAATTGGGAGGCAATTCTAATAAGAATCTTGAAAGAAAGTTTGTGTGAAAATTCTGGACACGGTTAATCATAATCATCAATAAGTTTGTTAATATATTCATTTGACATTAGTGCACTTGCAAGGAGCAAACATCCCTAGTTCAACTATCTATCCATAGATCGGGTTGGCGCCTTTGGATGTGGTAAAGAAACATTTTAATCTACACATGGTTCTTGAGAATTTTGTCAAAAAAGGTCAATTTAAGATTCAACTGTTGCTTTAAATTGTGCAATATAAGGCTTTGCTTGAGGCCGACTTTAGCATAATTCCTATGAAAAACACCTCGAGGCTTGCGCCTCGAGCTTTTTTTATGAGGCTTGCGCCTCATCTTGTTTGAGGCTTGCCTTGAGGCGTGTCTCGTCTCACTAGCATGAGGCGTATGCCTCGTCCTATATATTATATATATTAAAACATACATAAATAATAAAATAAAGTCCCGAACAAATCATATACCTTCATGCACCCTGAGCTACAACAACTTCATCTTGATTGCCTCGACCTCTAGCTTGTCTCCTTCACCAACACCACCGCAATTGTAGCCACCGCCGGGATCACTTGAAAGCCTCACATGACCACCACCTCCTCCTTTTAAAATTGTGGATTATTACTCTCATCTTTATATTGATCACAAAAATTTATGAAAGAAGAAGTTAATTGAAATTAATGAATAAGCGGATTGAGAGCCGTTGGATTTCGTAGGATGAGACAGGGGAGATACCAGCTTGTTATGATGATGACTCAAATAAGGAGCCCTTTAGTGATGACAGTCATATCACTTTTGAGTTGTTGCCAACTATTTTAGCTTTCCTTAAGAATTAAATTTGAATAAGTAGGGAATTGAGAAAGAAAGAATTTGGAGTTGAATTTAATGTTATATAATATGTTTATGCAATTCCTATATTTTTATGTTATTTTGCTCTTGTAGTATTTGTATTTCAATTCTATTTCATGCAATTTATTATTTGTTACTTTACGTTTTGTACGATTTTTTGTTTTATATATATTCCAATTTATTATTTTATAGCTCAATAGAAAGTAAGTATGCTATCATTTAACATATTATTTGATTATTATATTAAAAATCACTTTTAACCTTTATTTTCATTTTACGCATTTTTTTTTGGATTTTGAGGCTTATGCCTTGTCTCAAGAGCAAAAAATGCCTCAATACCCAATTGCGCAATTTAAACCTTGGGATTGAACAAGGAGCTGTTTGGTTGTTTGAAAAAGGAATGCAATCTAAAGTAAATGTAATGCATTTAGAATACTTTGGTGCTGTCTGGTTGTTTGTAAAGTAAATTTAGGGCATTTTTTTTGTTAGGTATATGCAGAGTAATGTAAAAGTAGTGTGTATGAATACTTTGATGCTATTTGATTGGGTGTGCATTATCGAGTGTGGTATTCCATTGCAATGCAATGGTAACATCATCCTTCAATATTTAATATTAGAAAATTATTATTTGAGCAATATGAACGTTTAATATATTAGTGCATGCCATTATTTTTTACCCATTCAATTATAAAATGAATATTCATATCCGTATTAAAATTAGCAATACTTTAAGGATAAATGCAACATGAATATTATTATTTCATAACCCCAAAATACATGTGAAAGCATAAATTTAAAATGTTTATATATCTAGCATAGTTATAAATTCAAAATCATCTTACTATTACAACTCAAAATGATGAATATAACATTAAATTCCACAACATAAATTGTTTTTCTAATCCTTTCACATCCATCTAGCTTTTCAATCCATGGGTTTTATGAGGAAGGAATATATCATTGCAGGGCTCTTCGATAAGTTATCATATATCGTATCAATCACTTCCTCTGAAAAGCTAAGAATATTTAATGCTCAATTTTGAGTTCAATAATTTTTTTTTCTTGAGTGGTTCTTATTGTGCTTTGGATAGCATTAGCAACTTGAGTAACACTATCAGTCATCATAACAATATGCTTATAAGAGTTCTATTAATAGCGAACACCTTATTCTTCTTTAGTTTCTCTTTTTAACGAAATCTCCTTTGGCAGATGAATACAATGCTCTTTTTGTTGTTCCTATGAAATCTTCTTTAATTTTTACATTAACCCAATGACTATATCGTGATGCATCTACATTAGCATCCATAAATCCTGAGGGCTCCTCATCTTCTAAATATATTTGTTGAGTCCCAAGTGAAGGTTGAGAATTTTCATATTTAGCCCACTCTCCAATACCATGCACTTCACCGCATACCTTCTCTAATTCCATATAATTTATTGAAATATTTAAGTAAGAAGCATCCTTTAGAAAAGCTTGTAACATTATTAATTATACAATATTAAGCTCATATTATTATTTTTGAACATATGCTAAATGCTGAGGTCTCCTCATCTTGTAAGTATATTTGTTGAGTCCCAAGTGAAGTTTGAGAATTTTCATATTTAGCCACTCTCCAGTAGCATGCACTTCACCACATACCTTCTAATGTAGGACAACATGCATGAATCGGAAACTTACACAAAATTTGTTAAGAGCAATTTCAGATTTCGTTATACGTGATTAAAACAATAAAGTAAAACTAATAAACGGTCACTTCCGTTTAGACAAAACTACACAAGGTGCTAAACGAATTCAAAACACGTAGGAAAATAAAGCATTGTATACAGAGTAGTTTCCAACTTAACCTTTGTTTAACAAGAAGATCCAAAAGCAACGAGGTAACAATTCCTACGAATACTAGTGGATGGCGATAAGTAGACACAATCTCTTGCTTGTACAATTTCTCACGAAGAAAATAGAATTTGAAAGTAATGAGTCAGTGAAGAAGATCACCTTCTCGGAGAAACGACGTGGATCACTATACCTTTTCGTTACTTCTTCTTCCCTCGCCTTGATCACAATGAATAGCAAATGGTAGATGGCCTTCTCTTTGATTCCAACAATGTTTGGAGTCAAGTTGAAGAAGGCAAGTTGAGAAGATCCATTCACTCTTAGCCTACGTATGCAAAACCGGACTCAAGCTCCGGATCAATCATCCATAGCCACTTAACAAGGAGAGATACCTCGAGAGGGAAGGAAGAGAGAGAGGGAGTGGACGGTGGAGAGAAGGTGGCCGGTGGGTTGTAAGGGGAGGGAGGCGGCTAGGGTTAGGAGGAAGCTAGGTTAGGTTAATAGAAATTGTTTTAAATTCCAAATCTGAAATTATTCTCAGATTTAAGTAAAAATGGAGGGAAATTAAATGAATTTGAAATTCAAATAGCATGACATTAAGTCCCTTAATGAAGCACTTAAGGAGGTGGGCCCACTAAGGGGGGCCGGCGCATGTAGAGAGGAATTAGGGTTGAGGGGAAGAGGAGTTATGCGTTTCCTAATCCGCTCCGCCTAATTAATTATGAAAATTTTAAATCTGCTCAAATTCAAATTTGAAATTTGAAATCTCATTGAAACTTTCCTAATTGGCGTTGGACAAAATTGGAAACTTTCAATTTTGAAATTTGAAATTCAAATTGGGGAGATGGCAAGAAGGGACCGGTGATTGGTGGAGGGGATGGTGGTGGGAAAAGGGGGAGGCCGGCGGTTAAGGTGGAGGCCGGCGGGATGAAGGGATGGTGGGGGGGGGGGGGTCTTGAAGGTATGGTGAGATTGAGCTTGGGTGGGTGCGGTTAGGAGATGGTGGTTGATGGTGGGGAATGATCGGCGGTGGGTGTGGGTAGAAGGAAAAGAAAGAAGGGAGATAAACCAAGAGCCACCGGTGGTGACTGTTGGGTACGACGGGTGGCCTCTCCTAGGCTCCACC